TCCTAGACTTCTAGGTATTTGAGCTGGACAGATTTAAAATGGGTCACCCTGTACATCCTGAGGGATCCCCTCTGTGTTCGGCTTCAGATTGGTGTTGCTTGGCATCGAAAGGGTTTTAGCTCAGCCTTTCAGGGAGCATTCGAGGACACACTGCTGACAGTTTATGCTCTATTTATTCTCACTGTTAATTAGCTATTACCATCTGAGGAAATTTGTCTGTACTGTCCATGTATCTATTCAATCGCCATTCAGGAGCAGTAATGTGGTTTGATATTTCACATTTGGATATTGCTACTAACCGTTGGTGTCCATACATTAAAGAGCATAGAAACAGACAGCAGTAAATCTATTACTTCCAAAAATTCAACTGCTACTTCTGCATTATTGATTGCAGAAGACTAGATGCAGAGGTGATTACTTTAATAAAATTTGATAACTGAAATCTTGGTTCCTTGTTTTTACTACTTCTCAAATGTAAGGATTTACTGTTTTGTTTTTTTAATATTAATAATTCATCTATTCTGAGAATCTGTAAGTCGAGTAAAAATGCCGAACGGTTCCTTTTTCATCCTCTCAGTTCTTAAGAGGAGCTGCTGTTTGTTCTTTCTTTCATGTGACAGTAAGCTGATGATTTTGTTTGAGAAACTTAGCGGGATAACCACATCACCTTGTATTATGGAAGATTGTCAGTAGTTGCTTTGGATTTGTGATTTTGTTTTACTGACAAAGGGCTGGATGAATGATTTAAACTCAGAGCAGTCGTGCTGTTAAGAGGGAATGTCGGAGGTGGAAAAAGGATAAACTGCATGTATCATTTCAAATTCTAAAAGACTGCTGGCATCGCTACCAGAACACTGTTAAAGAGGCAAAAAGGGAATATTTTGCAAATATTATTTCTTCCAACTGTCATAACCCACGTGTGTTATTTAGGACCATTGACACTGTTCTTAATACTCTTTTGAATGCCTGTTTGGAAGTTTCTCCTGAGATTTGCAATGATTTTCTGAACTTTTTTTATTGAAAAGGTTGTCACCACCAGGGCTCTTATCACAGCTCCTGACTCTGACCCCTCTGTCTCTGTCCCTTGCGCTGCTGTTTTCACTCAGTTTGAGCTTGTGACGCTCTCCACTTTAGAGGATGTGGTTCACCATATTAAGCCCACAGGTTCCCCATGGGATCCTGTCCCTCCACAATTCTTTAAAGAAATTTTTTCTAGTATACAACAGTATGTCCTTGACATTATTAACAGCAGTCTGTCTTCTGGTATGGTTCCTGCAAATTTAAAACATGCAGTAGTACAGCCACTGCTTAAGAAACCTGGCCTTGATCACAGTTTTAGCGAACTATAGGCCTATTTCCAAGCTGCCTTTAGTCTCCAAGGTTTTAGAGAAAATTGTTTTTAGTTAACTGAAAGATTTTCTAGATGAAAATGGAATCTTTGAGGTTTTTCAATCAGGTTTTAAAACCCTTCACAGCACAGAATCTGCATTATTAAGGGTTTTTAATGACATCCTTCTGGCATGTGATTCTGGTAACCATGTTGTTCTTGTCTTGCTTGACCTAACTGCTGCCTTTGACACTGTAGACCACAATATTCTAATTTCTCGATTACATGATGTAGTGGGTATTTGTGGCACTGCACTTAATTGGTTTAGGTCTTATTTGTCAGATAGAACTTTCTCTGTCAGCCTTCTCGGTTACGAATCGTCTCCTGCTCCTCTGTCATGCGGCGTCCCACAGGGCTCAATTTTAGGGCCACTGCTCTTTTCACTGTATCTATTGCCTCTGGGTTCTATCCTTAGAAGGCATGGGATCTCATTTCATTGTTATGCCGATGACTGCCAAATTTATTTGCCACTAAAACACAAGGATGGCATCTCCATAAAACCTCTCTTGACATGTCTAGATGACATTATAGCTTGGTTGGCTCTAAACTTTTTAAATTTTAATGAAAAGTAAACAGAAGTGTTGGTGTTTGGACCCAGTGGTACCTCTGAGTCCTCCTCTGTTGTTTTAGGATCCCTGGAATTCTATTTTAAATCTGTTGTTACTGACCTTGGTTTTAAGTTGGACAGTGATTTTTAAATTGGACAACCAAATCAGAGCAGTGGTGAAGTCCAGTTTTTATCATTTAAGGCGACTGGCAAGAGTAAAATCTTTTCTTTCGAGGCAGCACCTTGAAACAGTGATCCATGCTTTTATTTCTTCCCGCCTGGACTACTGTAACTCACTTTATGTGGGGGTCAGTCAGTCATTGCTCTCACGTCTGCAGCTGGTTCAAAATGTGGCTGCACGACTCCTAACAGGAACTCGAAAAAGAGAGCATATAACCCCCGTGCTAGCCTCTCTGCACTGGCTGCCTGTGTCTTTTAGAGTTAATTTTTAAATTCTTATGTTTGTTTTTAAATGCCTTCACAGTCTTGCCCCGCCTTACCTCTCTGAGCTTCTTCATCCCCACACACCCTGTCGGTCTCTCAGGTCAGCTGACCAGCTGCTCCTGGAGGTACCGAGATCCAGGAGGAAGCTCAGAGGGGACAGGGCCTTCTCTATTGTGGCTCCAAAATTATGGAATAATTTGCCCATGCATGTTAGAGAGGCCCCTTCACTGTCCACTTTTAAATCACGTCTTAAAACCCACTTTTATTCCTTGGCTTTTAACCTCAGTGAGACTTAGTTTCTCTTTTAATTGAAGTAGTTATTTAATTAATGATTTCACTCTTCTTTTATTTGGTTTTTATTTATATCTCATGTAATTTTATTTTACAGTTCCAATGTACAGCACTTTGTGTCAGCTGTGGTTGTTTTAAAGTGCTTTATAAATAAAGTTGATGATGATGATGATAAACTCTTTTTATTTAAAAAAAAAAAACACACCGACTGGCTCTGAAGCAGGGTGACACTTGTGGATTTTCATTATGTTCAAAAGGGAATGCTGCTTTGAGTCTTTGAGCTAGCCCAGTGGAAATTCTGTCAACAGATATAACGACAGGTATCTCGCCCGCTGATTCAACACTGCCTCCCAAATTACCGCTATGAAAATATTTCAGCTTGCTTGTCCAACCCACTCACCCTGAAGCACCAACTTAAGCTTCCTGTCTGCAGTAAAATTATTTCAATCACAGTCACTTTGAGTTGTAACTTCCCACTGGCTAACTTTAGTCGGCAGGAGGAGGCAGGAACAGAGGAGGGCTCATATCCTGCAAAGCACTACGCCAAGATATGCGACATGGTTGCACTTCCCCGCCTCCCACCACCCTAATGCTCAGGACAGCCGGTTTGTTATATGTGTGTGCTTTGCCAGGCATGGCTCATGTTTCTCAGTGCAGTTTGTCAGAGCCCAGCTTGGAACAGCAGGCACCAGTGAGGCTACATCAAATACATACATTCAGAGCTGACAGGGGGACACCACAATGTTTCTTCCCCAGAAAGAAGCTACGATTTGGGATTGCATTGGGCCATAAAACAGCCCGGTACCATGTTTTTGCCTCCCGTCCTGCACTGTAGCACAGGACTTCTAAGGATCATCTTTTTACATAGAAACACTGCTGGATTACTGCCCCACAGGACAAAGTGTTGGGAGCATGAGTATAAATGTGAAGTTTGAAGGAGACCGATTTTGAGTGCAAATAATTCCTAAGGGACACTTTGCATGAAATGCCACACGTGCTGGATATTCTTTGTTTTCCTGAAGTGGTTTTCCAGTTTTGGCTCCTGGATATCTGAGCTGTTGGGTAAACCTATCATAGTCAATCCCTTTTCTTATCACTTGCTGGGCAAGCTGGTGAATCTGTAGTCGCCCTGTCGTTAGCCACATCAGTGTCCGTGTCTGGTGGGGTGTTGTGAGCCTCATGCCTCCACCATGATGATCAAGGAGGCATCGTTACGGAGGGACCCTGACCTCAGGGGGGAGCTGGCCTTTCTGGCCAAGGGGTGTGACTTTGTCCTCCCCTCACGGTTCAAGAAAAGAATCAAGTCTTTCCAGCAACAACAGGTCAGTCAGTTCAACAAGCAAGACAGGCAGGGTGCAAGTGTGCATGCAATAATAATTATAAGCGCATAAAGATGTGCAGATGCAAATGTATATCTGTGTACACACACATACATTAGATGCATCTGGTTCTCTAACACACACAGAGTGACATGCCAGGGAAGACAAACTATTCTGAGGCAGATACCAGCTGGGTATTAATAGGCCAGGAGGTGCAGGAATAGAGTGACAGAATGAACGGTGTGAAGGAGAAGACTGCTACAGCTGTCCTGCTCAATACACAGAGTATGAAGGCCCAAGAGAAGAGACCAGGAAGTCCCTATGGGAACACAATGACTTTTGATTTAAGATGCAGTGTTGATTAAGCTCCAGTTTTGGTCTTCATATTTTAATAAGTAGCTCTGGAAAATTGGTTGCGTATCACATTTAGGATGTAGTCTAATATTGGGGTCTTGGGGTAAATTTGACCATGTAAGTTATTTGGTAATACATTTTTTTCGGAGATTTTTCTGAGGACTGACTGTATGGATGTGTCTTCTGCCACCTGGAACTTTTCTTGCCAAAGGTTAAAATAAAAGTGCACTTGTGACCGCTTTTTACTCATCTGTGACTAACATAATGGCAGGAAAAAATAGTCTCTTGTGTGTTGTTTATGAGTCACTTTGAGTTTCCAGTTCAACCTTTTACGTAGGTTCTCTATCATACTACAGTGAAGTTGTATCTTATCTACAGCTCTGGGGAAAGTTATCTATGACAGTGATTAAATTCTTCATTCTTATTTGTGCTTTTCATTAAAATGCGTACAAAGTTAAGGAAGCAAGGTACGTTTTACATCTAGACTAAGGCAGGTAGTTTGAATCAGTAAGCCACCAAGACTGCAGTGTTTCAGTCATTGGAGCATTGTCTCAAAAAAAGCTGAAATATGATGTTTAAAGTTAGGACCACAAACAGCTAATTAACACCCATCCATGCTTGTCCTTTCCCACACATGATCCCCCTTCTCTCTTTTCAGATCCAGTCGAAACCAGAAAAGAAACCCGGAACGCCTCCTCCCGCTCCAGTTGCAACCACAGCCACACCAGCCCCCACGCCACGCTCACCCAGCCCTCCTCCAGCTCCGGTGATAGTCACCCCTCCTCCTCCTGCCATTAACATTCCCAGGTTCTACTACCCTCGTGGGCTTCCTGCCCTGGGCCCGGCTGCCAACCACGATGCAGAAATTGCTGCCATTGAGACAGTCTTCACCGAGTTTGAGGAGGAGAAGGCTGATATTTATGAAATGGGCAAGGTCGCGAAGGTAAAATCACACCTTTCCCCCAACCTGTTTTTCAGAATAGAACAAACTTTATTAAGACAAAGGCAAGCATCTACATTTAATTCCAGTAAGGCAGTTGAAATGCCAACGTCCATATTGAGACTTGAGACTTCTTTACATTTCCCAGAAGGCTTTTGTTTTTCCTGAGAAATCACTGTATGTAGTGGCCTTGTTAAAACAGTGCTCTTTCTAAGCAATGCAACTCTAGGAAACAAACATGTTGTTCAGAGTAAGGTCATACAGGCAGTTGTTGTGTTTCCATTCAGGCATGCGGGTGTCCACTTTACTGGAAAGCACCCATGTTCTACGCAGCAGGTGGTGAGAGGACAGGCTTTGTGTCTGTTCACTCGTTCATTGCAACTTGGAGGAAGTAAGACACGCGCATGTTCTTTAAAGCCTTACAAATAGAATAAAACAGATGCAACTGGGCTTTGATATCATACGTCTCTCCTCTCCTTTCTTGCAGGTTGTTGCACAGTTGCCATGACGATGCCTCAAAGTTTGTTTACTTGCTGGCTAAACCTGGCTGTAACTACTTGGAGCAGGAAGACTTTATTCCTCTACTGCAGGTAAATATCGTACCAATATAAATGAAATAAGCAACTCTGTTATTTCTGTGCTACACTATATTTTTATGACAACTCTATATACTAATTTTTTCCTGTTTGCCTTATTAGGACATTGTAGATACACATCCTGGGCTCACGTTTCTGAAGGATGCACCTGAATTCCATTCACGCTACATAACAACGGTAAATGGCAAAAACCAATGAGATCAGCTGTGTTTTTTAAAAAATATATTTATTTGTAAGATTGTGTTTTAGCGAATCTCACAAGCTCTGTTAACTGAAAAGGAATAGCAGTTCTAGACTAAGCACCACAGTAATGAGGGAGCTCTTTATGGCCACATGTATCAATGACCTTGTTTGTTCAATAAATGTCCAAAGCTCATGACCAAAGGCAAGTAATGGAAACTAGATTAACTGGCTTCAAGATGAGAAAACTTCAAAAGTACAAGCACATTACCAGTGAATAACAGAAACATTTAAAACGTGACTGTAACAGTGAACAGCAATTAACTCTCTCAAGATCTTTTCTGTTTAATGACACTTTAATATTCTGTCCTAGGGGTGCCATTATAGTTCACCTGATTGAGTTATAATGACCCTTATACTGAAGGCTAAAGTCCTTCCTGCAGCAGCCTGAATTCACGTCTGTGCCAGACTCTGCTGTGAATACTATTCTTCCCACCTTACTATCTAGCCTCCTCTTTCATGCCAAATAAAAGCTAAAACATGCCCCAAATAAAATAATATTTTTCCATAACTACCATTTGGTCTAAAAATGATCCAATTATCCAAAAGAAATCACTTGATGAGGTTATAGAATACAAAAAAACCCCAACAAATCATATATTCTTCCTTCACCTGCTCCTTTTCCTTATTCTTATGCCTCTGAGCAGCCCATATAGGGGTTGCCACAGTGGACATTTGCCTCCAACTCACACTAGCCTTAGCATCTTCCTCCATTATGTCAACCCTCTGCATGACCTTGATCTTTTCTGTGGTTTTTGTCTCATCTTCAACATCCTTTGACTAATATATCCACTCACCCTCCTCTGTACATGTCCCGACCATATCAGCCTTGTCTGTCTAACTTTGTCTCTTAACCACTCAATCTGATTAGCATTATAGTCTTATCCATTCTGGTGACTCTCAGCCAAAATCTTAGGTATTTGAGCCCTGGTATTTGAACTCATCTGTCTTCACTATCTCTGCTCCTTGCAGGTTCACTGTTCCACCTGCCTCCCTCTTCTGTCTTGCTTCTACTGGCTTTCATTTCTCTTATCTCTAGAACATACCTCCACCTCTCCACACTCTCTTCCACCTGCTTCCTACTCTCACTATAGAGCAGTATCCATAATCTCCTCTTAAGTTGTCAGTAAAACAGCTTCTGTGTGCCTCAGCTGTGGAATATTAACAGTAGAGCATGTGAGTCTTTGAATGTAGACGGGGACAGCTGTGCAAGCTGAGGGTTTGCTTTTTTAAAGTACTGAGATTTCACTGCACCGGTGCGTCAGCCTACGGTGACTTCACGGAAACACTGATGCATTCCCTACCATCCCTTTCCATAGAGACACCATCTGCATTCCCATTTTATGACACTTCCTATTCAGTTTAGACCAACTGACGTGCTACTGTATGAGACGCTAGTAACCCATGGAGGTCCATGTACCAGAAAATGGATGATAATCCAGTGTTGTGGGTCTTCCTCTTGGCTAGATGAGGAATATTTTTTATATATCTGGATGATGGGGCTTGTACAGACCTCGTGAAAATGTCATCAGTTTTATTTTTAGTTTGACAGTTTCAGTTTTAGACCTTGCCTTGATTTTAACTTTTTAGAATCACCAATACAAAAACCACCAGATGTCAAATACATAAATTAAATTGGACAAATTAAGTTTCTATGATTAATTGAAGACAGCAAAGGCGATTGTAATTACTAAATAGGTTTATTAATAATTCTGTTAAAAGCCTTATCAAGAATTAATAATTCTCTACTCCACTGTTAAGGATATATTAATCATTTTTTGGTTAAAAGTTAATGTAAAAATTTCAGAAATTATGAAAGATGTCTCTCATAATTTAATAAACTCACCTCCTTTAGAAATATAGTGAGGTCTTGTTATTTGGAAGATATTGAATTATAGGATTAATCATGAAAAGTTTTCACATTAATCATGAGGCTTTACTTTCGTTTTAGTAGCGCATTTTATGAAAACTATTATATAATAGAATTGTCTTTGTCGCTATTCTACTATAATGTCATCACAGGTGATCCAGCGGATATACTATGTAGTGAACCGGTCATGGAAAGGTCGTATCACAATGATGGAGCTACGCCGGAGTAATTTCCTTCAAACTCTGGCCCTGCTGGAAGAAGAGGACGACATCAACCAGATCACTGACTACTTCTCCTACGAACACTTTTACGTCATCTACTGCAAGTTTTGGGAGCTGGACACTGATCATGATCTGTACATTGACCCCAAAGATCTGGGGAGATACAACAACCACGGTAAGAAAACAAATCTCAGTTAAGGATTTACTTCCCCCAGCTGAAAGAGCTCCATAGCAGTTCAATTGGGGTTTTTCTAATCCTTTATATGAGCACTGAGCCAAAAATCTAATTGTCTGAATCAGTACTTAAGTGTTTGATTTTAATGTGCTTTCACTGATTTACAAATAGTGTCATCTTGTTTCTGTGTATTTACTTCGTCTTTTTATTCTCCCATTTTAACAGCATCCTCAAACAGAATCATTGAGAGATTATTTTCAGGGGCTGTTACTCGGTGAGTAAAACCCACACGTGAACAAGCATACGTAGCCAATTACTTTACTGTAATAACTGTAGAGCATCTAAATGGTTCTGCCTCTTTTCTTTCCAGGGGTAACGCTGTGCAGAGAGAAGGCAGGATGAGCTACGCTGAGTTTGTCTGGTTTCTGATATCTGAGGAAGACAAAAAAAATCCCACCAGGTATTTCAAAAGTTGTTCCGATATGTGTGTGATTGTTTAGATTAGTACACTGCAGGTATGCAACAAGTAATCTGAGTCTGTGCGTAACACATTTGTTACCCGTCTTTCCAGTATAGAGTACTGGTTCCGCTGCATGGACGTGGATGGTGATGGTGTCCTTTCCATGTTTGAGTTGGAGTATTTTTATGAAGAACAGTGTGAGAGGATGGAAAGAATGGGCATCGAGCCTCTACCCTTTCAGGATTTGCTCTGCCAGATGCTCGACCTGGTCAAACCTGAGAACCCAGGTTAGTGCTCAAACTTTCTTGTCCTTAGTCTTTTTTTTTTCTTCGTATTTCACAATTACGTTTTAATCAGTAGACGGCCAAACACAACCCATTGTGCTTTTGAGACATTACACCTGCATTTGTGTTTGTTTTATTTCCTTTAGGTAAGATAACTCTGAGTGACTTGAAACACTGCCGGATGGCTCACATATTCTTTGACACTTTCTTCAACCTGGAGAAGTACCTGGACCATGAACAGAGAGACCCATTTGCTGTGCAAAAGGTGCAAATCTTAAAAAAATGTATTTATAATATTTAACTATAACTGTGGATCTTCTTGATATTGTGATGATCCACTCGAAGACATGCATGTTAGGTTATTAGTGATTCGAAATTGTGACTCCCCACAGTGTATAATCTGGCTGGATTTTTTTCTAGTGCCATATAGCTTCTTCGCTTCTTCTTATTTTTTTTTTTTTTTTTAGTTTTATGTATTTTATCTAAAGCTATAAAACACCAATATGTATTGTGTTTGTGGCGCTCCAGGACATTGATAGTGAAGGTCCAGAACCATCTGACTGGGATAAATATGCCTCAGAGGAGTATGAGATACTAGTGGCAGAGGAGACTGCAAATGAACAGCTGCACGAGGGGTAAGGCGTAGACACGTTCACACTCATTCACGTTATTAACTAAAAGTTTATCATTTTTATTAAGAATAAAGGTGTATATCGGTTCTCTCTGTTGTGTTCCCAGGTCATTTGATGATGACTATGAATCTGAGGAGCTTCAAGTTCCTGGAGAAATTGGGAAAATGGAAAAACTGGTCATATCAGACCTGTCTGCATAAAACCTGGAATTCTTGGGCTTCTCTTTCTGGTAAACAGAAAGCAGCAAGGTGATGGAGAGCCACTCTGGATATATGCATCCATACATGGATGGAAAGACAGAGAAAGGAATTCTGGCTCCTGTCTCATGATTTCTCTGTGGAGTTATTGTATTGTATGTGTGTGTGAGTATGGCCATAAACCAGTATTGTTCTGGTGTCTGGTGCAATAATGCATCTGTATTCACACAAAAAAGAATGTCCCTGCCTCCAGCTTTTTGCTCCACAGAAGCCAAAGACAGAAGTTTGATAAGCTCAAGAAGGACTCAAAGAAAAACACTTAACTGTAAAATAATGTAATTATTGTGAATTCTCTACTGACAATCCTGCCAAAGGACAATCTTTTTAAGAATTTTGCTAAGCTCAAGTTAGACTGACAGGAAGCCTGCCATGCACACAAGTAGGCATCTAGTGGGAGAAACTGGCAGGTAGAAAAAATAATGACAATGAATAGACACTGCCATTGAAGAGCAACAGTCCACTGCTTAAAAATATGACACACACTGCCTTGAGAAACCTGCTGTGTGAGCATCTTGTCACCATGTTTCTCGTAAAGGAAGCTGTTAGTCCCTTTAATTAGAGGTCATAGAACAGCTTGAGCGGTTATATCAGCACCTCCACTTAGTGGCCAGTATGTGGTACTGCATGCCATCCGTGGCCTGCACAGTGCTTGATGGCTGGCTGTCATTTCTGTGAAGGAGTTTAGTTCACCGCACAGCCTGAGCTGTTCTTTATTGTTGCAGCACTATCAGCGCTCCACCTCTGGACGCTCTCCGGAGTCATGGACAGTTATTTTCAAGCTCTACAATTTCAATGTATTAATTCTCAATCAGATAATGGTGAAAGATATGGGATATGCACATCAAGTGATGCACAATGCCAGTCATATCAAACTCTCCGGTAGAGTTGCCCAAACATTTCCACCTGTAACATTTGTAATGAAACAATAGATGTGCCTACGATTTGTAAGTTGTTCCTGCCAGTCTCATGCAACATCTCACTGTATGTTTTCCCACATCCTTTTCTTTTCTTTTCTTTGTTAAACCTTTATTTTTTTATGGAATTTTCAATTTGACAAGCAGAAGTGTAGAACAAAAACATTGGGCTTGAGTAAGCTCAGCGCACATCCAAGACAGACGCACCGATACAGTACATTACACAGAAAGCTGAGCTTTATTGTTTTAAGTTAAAAAGAGAGAACTGGGAAAAGTCATTCTGTCTTTTCATCATCAGAGTTATCTTCTCCGTTTATTCTCTCACATCCTTTTTTGAATTTGTGCACTGCCTTCTAATTCATGTGAACTGTTACTGTCGTTTAGTCTCTGCAAAATTATCCCCTTTTTACATACCTGTTTACATCTCATCACTATTGATCATTTGTTTATCAGCGTTTCTGAAGTCCACTCTACCTGTAACACACAAAAACACACCACTAAAGATGCCTTTTAATAAATAGGTTGCCTAAAGCAAATTTTAAACTCACATATGTAGTGGTATCATGCCGGCAAACCATTACGTAGATACGTTTGAGATTTCAAACAGCACTTCACTACAGTGTTTGTGGCTTTTAGAAAAAATGATTCTCTGAACACGTGTCCCTGTTATTCAAACAACAGAAGACATGCTGAAGAGTTTCCAGTAGAACTCTCTGTAGTGTACATTGTCCTGACACTACAGTTTGTGCTTTATAGAGACTAAGATGCATAGATGTGTCACTGCTCAATTGCTGTATAGATTCTGTACTGATATGAAGCCTTTTTTTTTTCTTTTTCAGGCACATTTTTCTTAAAATCTCTTAAAACCAGTTGTTATAGTACAACCCAATCAATGTTTATGGTTAGATGCCACTATGTGAGTTTGGTCTGTGAACCCTTTAACTCCTTTATTTACTGTAATAGCTAGGAGTGTGTTTGCACTGATAGAAGAGTGTGCTTTAGGAGCCTGTGTTGTGTAGCTCTGTTTCAAGCCGTTTTGTTGCCATGGGGATTGTGCTCCAGGATCGGTGGATGTGTGTGCCCTTGTATAACTCTGTAATTAGTAGTAGTCCTCAGTGGCTTTAAATTCACCGATATATATATACATCCTTTTCTGGCATTTGCTGTACAGACTCACCATAGTATAGTTGCAGTTGAAGGGTAAAAAAGACAGCTTGCGGATGCTGCAAGGTTTTAAGGACCTTGATCACCCCACTTCTGCTTTATATTTGTTGTAAATCTCTCTAGCTTTGTAATAAGCGATATTATAATATTATTAACAGTAATAATGAGCCATTATGGACATAACAACTGTAATATGATGGTTTGTATTACTGTGCCACTGTGTGGCTTTGGGATGGGGGGTAAATTATGTTAGCTGTGTGTATGCTTGTGTTAGACGTGCAGTGGATTTTATCGGCAGAAGTGGGTGAAATCCTCTTTTCTACCCAACCTGACAATCACAAAATTTGTAGATACAAGACATCATCTAATATAGAAACTGTTGAGACAGATTTTTCACTGCTGTGATCACATTCATTCACTCTTAAAGAGATTTCTTCGCCTATACGGTATACAAGAAAGAACTAATTATGGTGATGAGACATCAAGTCTGGACGACGACTTTTTGGTTCTATGCAAAGTATCCTGGTGCTCACGCTCCAAGCATCAGGCAAGGAGCAAAGCCATGCAGGAGTTTTACTTTACTTTTAAAGGTAGAGAAAAGAGTTTATTTTTGATCTGTGCACAGAAAACTTGAGTAGGCTGAGATGTGATGCAAAGTCTGGTGGTTATTGTATTGGCATGGTTTTCCCTCTTTACATCCATCAATTCTTTCTTTTAGTCTTTCAATCTTTCTTTCTTTTTTCTGTCCTGTCTCCTGTTATTTGTTGCTTTCATTTTAAGTTTAAAAGTTTAAATAAAGATGTTTAAAAAAATATTTCCTCTTTGCTCTTTATGGTCTTATTCCATGACACACGTGTCACATTCAGACATCGTTATTCCCTCCTGTGTACACACGCTTTGTGCTCTTGACGTGTTTGCATGCACTGGTGCTCAATAGCCCGTCTTGGATACTGGCTATTTTCATTCTTAAAGCTTAAGATTTTTCATGTTGTTGTTTAATTTCATCTGTTGTAGTTATTTTTAACAAATAACATTTGACCCTATATGGCTGCCCCAGCTTAGAGGCATGATTATACAGGTGACAAGTAAGCCAATGAGCTACAAAACCTTTTTTTAATCTGTAATAGCAAAGACAATCTCCATTGAGCTTACAGTGTCATTGTTTCTGCTCTCAGCGAGTGTTGCATTGGCTCAAATGTGTCTAAAATACTGTAAGCAATACCTAATTTTATACAATAGAACAATGGTAAGAAATGCATTCCATGAATCAAAATTAGAATACTTTATTAATTCCTTAGGAAATTATGTGACTTACAGTTACTCCAAGACAGTAACAGATTAAACTATTTAAATAATACAATATGTTACAGAGTTTACAAATTTAAGAAATGGCATTAATATATACAAATCGCTCAACTAAAAATATAAAGAATATTACGGGGTGGAATATATATGATTGACATTTGACTCTAACCTGTGAACTTTCTCATTTGCTATTTTACAGTAGCACGTGTGTAGGTATTGCATTGTTTACAGTGTATTAGATGAATATGGGTGTGCAAATGAGTATGAAAAGAATATGGGTCTCTCTCTATGTTGGCGCTATGGTGGCCCCCAGCAACACTGAACTGGATAAGTGGTTACAAAGATGGATGGAAAATGACATATATAAATGACATAGGCTTTGAACCCCTTGAATGCCATTTTGACAGTTATATTTTCATCAATTAAAAATTTAATAAACTATAGTTTCTACAGTGATGCCAATCGCAGTGTTTGAGTTACAATGGTAACCAGCTCCTTAGCATGTTTGATGGCACTGTTGAAAAATGAGGTCAGCAAGGTTATTTTGTCATCCTTTGTGCTATATAGGTCTGTACCATGGCTCTCAAGTTGTCATGATATTGGACAAATCAGCAAAGTGACTGAAGATGAAGATGCATTTGAGAATGCAAGTATTTCATGCATCCCACTGAACATTGAAGGGTCTTTACCCTGCCAACTTCCTACTACACAGACTGATATCTGATTGCAACCTTGTGTGAAAAAGATGGAGTTGTATCTCCTGGACATCCTACCTACCCAGTTAGGTTGCCTAAAACAGCGGTCCCCAACCCCCGGGCCTCGGACCGATACCGGTCCGTGAGTCGTTTGGTACCGGGCCGTGAGAGTAGAGGCTCAGGTATGAAATGTGTGGTTTTCAGGGTTTTTATCGGTTTTCAGCGTTATTTTGTTATCGTTTTTATCGTTAACTCGGTTTTCCTGGGTCTTTTCACGTGTGTTATGAATAAATCTTCTTTTTTTTTGGTACCGGTACTAGTTTTATTTTGTTGTATTTATCCGTGACACCTTAAAGGTCGGTGCAAGAAAATATTGTCGGGCATAAACCGGTCCGTGGCGCAAAAAAGGTTGGAGACCGCTGGCCTAAAACACACGAGAAAAGACATTTTTGGACTATTCCATGTACCCAATTCTTCTAATGTTTTTAATTAAAAGTTTGTGAAAATGTCAGGAGGCTTCATCTTGTGGGGACCATAACTTTTAATTATAATATTGTTTTACTTCACAAGTTATGATCACACAAATTAATTGCTTCAGCTAACTGTGCTTTTAGATGAAACTGTTTTTACAGTGTTTTAGTTCCACCCCTCTGTTTTCACCCATCTTGATAAAACTGATTTGTGTAAATAGCACTTAAGAAAACGTATGTTATATATTTCTGTGGGGATGTAATTCTTGGCAAAATGAGGGTGATTGCAGGCACCGTTTCTTCTGGGGGTTTATTGTTCTGAATGCACTGATTGTTCGAACAATGGTGTAATAGCTGGCACGGTGTCACATTGTGATTTGCTCACGAGCAATTGGCCTCCCAGCGAAGGTCAGAGTGGACTGGTCATTGTTTAAAATGGCACTCTGCTTGTTTTCCACAAATGTCAGGGACAAAGAAATTAGCCAACCAGATCGCTGGCCCACCTTCTTGAGTCACAGACATTCCATGGCTGTGATTGCCAACGCCCACCACTCTATGGTGGGGTGACCCAGCCAGTGTGAAATCCCCACCGTGATGTCATGACTGGAAGGTATTCTTTAAGATGGAACATATGACATGATTGGCAAAGATGGAACAAATACAAATCTCATCTAAACACTGTGTGGGGATAAAGCTGACTGGGAAACCCACAAAATGGTGAGGCGACAACTGGAACCAATTGATCTCATCGACGAGAAGTGCATGGGCACTGTAAGGCCTTGATTAATGTAGAGTGCGGTACTTGTTCCATGCATACCAGTGATGCCAGAAACATAAGCTTTGGATAAAGCTGTCTGAGAAAGTCCTGAAAAGAGGAAGGAAACAACTGGAAGCAATTCATCTTATCAAAGCGAGACAAAGAGATGAGCTTGGGCAAAGAAAGCCTTTGAAATCGCTTCTTGTTCCAGATGCTCCAGAGATACTAAATAGAATATTAATACTATCTATTTCAAGCCAAAAGACCCCCAAAACAAGCCTAAAATGGTAAAAGAGTCCAAATAAGAGAAAAGATATAATTTGTTTTAACATTAGTTTCTCTTTCTAGCATGTCATGTTGGTAAATTTGTATTTAAATTCTCACTGCATTACATATATATCCTGATGTAATGTGGTGAATTTAAAAACCATAGATTAAACAGTGTCATGTGTACAAATAAGAAGTTAGCAAAGAACCAATTGTAGAACCAGCTGCATTTCTTTAGTTGAAATTATAAATAATGCCAAAGATTACGCAGTTTGACACACAGGTATTAGCCAAAAAATGTTATATCTCACCATGGCATGCATTGTTTCCTTAAAACATTGAGGAAACTGGACAAGTGAAAAACAAAAGGAGATGAACGTCATGTCCTTAAAAAAACAGGACAAAAAACATCCAGCAAACACCTAACACGTGACCTGGGAGATGCATCTCACCATTCCATTTATCCACACACTCTTCACTCAAACCTCATCAGGAATGGTCTCAGTGGAAGGCTGCCTGTCAGGAAGTCATTCTTAAGGACGGGAAGCAGGAGGGAAAGACTGAGGTATGCCAAGTTACACAAGAACTGCAATGATAATCAGTATCATAACATTGTCATCTGTGTGTATGGACGAAGTCAGGAGGCTTTTGATTGATCATGGAATACCATCTGAAAAGAATGATCGCAAACAAAAAGGCCAATGCAGCAAAAGCATACACAATGGAACACGATTGGCTGAAGAATAAAGGTGGCAATATCAAATATTGATTTAAAAGGTCATTAGAAGTCTAAAAAGTCTGTTTTTGCCTTGTATACTATATTTCCATGTATTTTTGCACATCTTTTAATAAATCACTGCAACTATTACTCATTCGCCTTGCAAAATAT